TCGTGCTCCTACAGCGCCTTTCGTCCCAGAGAGCTGTATGCTTGTCAGTAAGGCAGGCCTTGCAGTGCCCCTTTGACATAGGTTAATTTTGTCAGACCTACTTTATAAGAAATTGATATGAACAAAGGGGAAATTACTTGTCCATACAAACAGTAGTGAAGAAGGAATAGTGTCTGAGGTGCTGTAACCTCCAGCCCCTGACTCCAAAACTACCGGGCTGTTACACCCCTGGGCAGAAGTGCACTGTGTGTCATGCTTGGGAGGATCGTGCCAACTTCTACAAGTCAGTCGTTAATGATACCGTCTGGTAGAAATGGTGTATTAAGACCTATCCTTTAACATATTTCTTTTGTTGGCTTTATGCATCTCTCGTTTAAACAAGCAAAATCCGAACATGCTTGTAAGTGTTCCTGGTAATGCTTCAGTTGTTCATAGTAAGAACTGGAAGTAAAAAAAAAAAAAAAGTAAAAAAGAAAAAAAAAGGTGTCAGCGAAGTTTTGACTTTCGCTTCCAGGCAATAGACAGTAGAAATGTCAGACTCTATACAACCTTGCTGTGTCAGGAATACTCACAGTCACTAAAAGGTAGAAGAACTAAATACCATTAGAAAGCAAAAAAAAAAAAAATTTAAAAAAGACACAGAACATCTAATAACTAGTGTAAAATGGGGCATCTGTTGAGATTCTGGCCTGGAGCCTTCCTGGGGTCTCAGTGAAAAAAAAAAAAAAATCACATCTGGTTAATCTTAGCAAGTTTCTGTGGTGGGGGCTGATTTGACTGGAGGGAGGATGGAACTAGTGAAACAGAAGGCTGGGCTTCATTGAGTTACGCTGACGTTTAGGATGGCTCAGCTGCTATTCAGTACAGAAGCAAAGGGGTTTATTTATGATTTTTGTTTATTTGGGTTCCCTTTTTGTTGTTGTTGGTTTTTTGTTTGGTTGGTTTTTGGTTTGGGGTTTTTTTTGAACAAATTCTGCTTACCACTGTGATCGCTCTGGCTCTGAGCGTTTTCCTTCCTTGGCAGGAAACACCAGTCTGTCATGACCTGAAAGTTCCTTATCTTCTCTTGACATGCTTGAGAATTCACAGGCTTCTGTCATAGCATCGCTTCCTCTCCCGAAAATGATGGCATGTGGCAGCTGACTTACTCTGAGAACAAGCCCAGAGTTAAGTCTCTGTTAATATTCACCTTGCACCTAATGCCAAAATAGTGGCTTCTTATGATCCCCTGTTGGGTAACTGTGCCTCAGGACTTCTGTCCCTTGTTTGTGGAGGTTGCAGCTCTTTCAGATCAGCTTATAAAGTGACTTGGTTATGTGCTGTCCTTGGAAACAGATGCACATCCACAGTATTAATAACTATAATTAAAAGCGGTTTCATAAAGGCGTAGCTCAGCAGAAAAAATTGCTTTTTTTTAAAAAGAATGAAGTTGCATCAGGATTTGTGCAAATCACTTCTTTAACAGCCAAAGTATGTGTTTAACCATCTGCATTTTTAAAATAGGGGAAAACAAACATAAATCTACTGTGATTAATTAAGGAAAAATACCAAAATTCTTACTCGAACATGAGGATTGTTCTGATTATCAATAGAAAGTAGTTTGTAAGAAGAGCTTAAAGCTAAGGTTTAGTTAGCCTTTTTTTTTTTTAATTTTGCGTATGGCTTAGTGATATTTGAATAATTATAAAGTAATTAAACTGAATGTAATTGCGCTTGGTTTTTGGAAAACAGGTAACAATATGGCTATGGGTTCATGGATGTTCAGTAGGTTCATCTGATCAGGTAGGAGATTAGGTCACAAACTAACTGAAAGACCTAATGCTATGAAATTGTAACAAAATTGTGAGTTCAAAAATACAAATGGACATTGAGGACCAAGATAATTGGCGTTTTAGCTTCCCCTTATAAATACAAAGGTTTATTTGCCTTTTAAATGGGCCAGTAAAATTGAATTGGCACCCTGCGGTGCATGCAGAATAGATAGTCGAGAAGAATAAGCTATAAGAAAGAAGCAGAGGAGCTTAAGAGACGAAGATTTTTCAAGACTAATAGCAGACAGTCTTGTAAATGTGTTAAATCTTAAAGATCTGTAATGAATACAAACCTGAATCAGGGGAAATAAGACTGGGCAGGGAGGTACACTTGTTAGAAGATATTGCTGGTGATCCCCCAGGATTTTTACGAAAAAAGTTGTAAATATCTGAAAGGCCAAGTCAGAAGCTCTCACCTGCACTGGGGTGCTCCATGCAAGCAGCATCTCTGTGTTGGCTGTTAGGTGTTGTTGGAGAAGGTCCTGCTTACGGTCAGGTTGTTCAGAGAGACTGATTTTTTTTCTCAGATTACTCACAAATGAAGAATGTGTTCTTTGCATAAACGAGCATAATCTGCTATGGAAATAGATACACCTTAATTCAGTATTTTAAACTATCCATGCAAGACAGAATTTTGTCCAAAGGACAGAGACCTTGAACCATTTTCAAAAGCTGCCTAGGTACTGTATCTCTAAGAACAAGCAGGAGCACAACCGGACCAATTCTGAGCTGGTTCCAGCGCAATGCAGAGGAGCTGGTCCATGCTGGAGCCAGCCACTGTCAGTTACCTTTAGCACGGCGCTCGTTCTCTCTACTGACTCTGTGGGATGTAGGAACTAGCAGTCCTAATAAGAGCTAATCTGTATTCTTCATTATAGTCCTACACTTAGATGGTGCGGTAGGCTTTCTGAGCCTCCTTGTGACTCTTCTTTTCAGATACTGTGTCACTGTAAATCTGAGAGATTTCAGTGGAGTCACAGTTCAGAGACTTATACCTTATACCTGATAAGAAATAACAGGTCAACTCAGGATGATTTGAAATAATCTGGGTTTTTAGGGTCTGGAGATATTTGAGAGTATTTTTTGTTTGCATTGCACAAGGGATCTTTCCTGGAATACTTGCTCTTCTCTGCTTTCTTCGCAGTACAGAATCTACATAAAAAAAACTAGTAAACTCGGCCGTTAATAAATATATAAAAGAAGCCTGACTCAGTGTATGTGAGGACATCAGCTCTGCTAGCCCCACTTCAGTGATTATTCCCATGGAGTTAGAGGGCTTATACTCCATTGGAATTATTTGCAGACTGCCAGACTTTCTAATGTAGTCTTTATTTTCCACTTTTTTTCACCTGTAAGTTAATACCTTTTATTTGTTACTTCAGCACGTAATTTTTTTTGGTAGCTTTTCTACTTTATATCCTGCTGGTATATAGTTTAACAAAATGCCTTTTGAAACAGTGTATTTAATTACACAGTCATGCCTCTGGGAATAAATTCTTGCTGTATTACAATTTCTTTTATATCTTTTCTTTACTGTGGTTGAGAACTTCCACAAACTTTTCTTTCAGAAATCACTACTTATTCCTTGTCTGTGCCTCATGTGTGTCTCTGTTTTATCTACACCAGCTGTTATTTGCTGCTGGTATCCATGACTGGTCATGTCCTGTTACAGTGGCTTAAACACTTAAATTACTTAATAGCATTTCTATTTTTCATTTGGATCTGCAGGAAGAAAATCTCATTTTCACACCTGACTACCTGTTTGAGGTGTTATCCATGATGCTGTGTCAATGAGCTGATATTGTGGAGACCCTTTTTAAAATTAACAGGCTTTAGTGATTCTGAATGGTAGCGTTTATGGTAGGAAATGTTTCATGATGGTACTTCGGAAGTAATGATGCTGTATATTTCTGTGTAGAAGTCGTGTCTTCCTTACTGGTAATTACTTCCCCTTGCTTTGTGCGAAGTTAAATATGCAGCATTTTGGCAAAAGTGGTTAATGGGCCTAGTTGAAAATTGTTGTTAAGTCCAGTTCTTGACAAGCAAAATTGCTAATGTTGAATTAACACTTTTCTGGGAAACTTATTTTCGTTACAAATGGGACTTACTCATCTCAGTCCAGAAATGTTTTGATTTATAAGTGCTGCTATGCTGTAGTGTATTTCAGTTGTACAGTCTTTATTATGGAGCAGAGGCCCAGCATCTGACATCTCAGGCTCGCTCACTATGTCTGATGCAGTCTCCCTCCATGGAAAGAACCCAAGGTCACAAGAAGTTGCTCTGTACCTACAGAGTTCAACAGCAAAGAAACTTTTCCCTGCAACTCCCATGAAGTTGATCATGTTTATAAATTGAAATACTTTATTTTTGTCCAAAATAGTCATTGTTCAAGCTCTGTAAAGTATGGGAGATGAAGTGTTTTGCCAGAGGCGTACATGTGACACAAAACACCTTTGACTGCATTTTGATAATTTTCTGGTACTAGTTGAGTTCCTCAGGACACCAGGATGATTAATAACTAAAGGCTTCCAGGTTAAAGGATGTCAGCTCTTGTCCCATGAAGCCACAATATGTGTTCCTGATTTGTGTTACCATTAGTGAGCCGTATGCTTTCCAAATGGCTTCTGAAAGATTTTAACACTCACTTAAGAGGCCACCATAATTTCCCACTGAAAAAGCCCACACCCAGATTTCATGCAGAGATGTCAGATTTGTGGACTGTAAAAGAATAAACCATCCAGATTTCTTTGAATCAGACATGAATCAAGGTGGGATACCAGGGAAAACTACATCTTTTGACATGTTTTGACTTTTAGGCAGACCTGACATCTGTTACATAGCTGTTAACAGATCTCTTGAGGTGCTACTCAAGGGAGGCAAGGTTTTTTACAGACAAGCAATGTAATCCTGTGTTTGTTTTTAAAGAATATAAAGAGATTAGTGGATTATGACGATATAGCAGGACAAACGGCAATCAAAAATGTGCTCAGCCCAATTTAATTGCGACAAAGTTGGTAAAACTCAGAGCTACGCTGAAGTTAGTCTGTATTATCTCAGGAATTCGTTCCATCTGCTGCATGGTACAGAATAATTTCAGGATTGCTTATAAGGCTTACTTCAAATATACTTTGAAAGTTTCTTTGTGTTCATTATATGTCAGATTTTAACGCCTCTCTCTGTCTTTGTTAGTCTGTTCACAGTTTTCCAGAGGAGTTTATGCCATCTTTGGATTCTATGACCAGATGTCAATGAACACACTGACGTCATTTTGTGGAGCCCTTCACACATCCTTCGTCACGCCCAGCTTCCCAACAGATGCAGATGTACAGTTTGTCATCCAGATGCGGCCAGCATTAAAAGGAGCCATCTTGAGTCTCCTGTCTCACTATAAGTGGGAAAAGTTTGTGTACCTCTATGACACAGAACGGGGTAAGCACTATCATTTTAGAGTGATTTTGCTATTTCACAGATTGCTATAGGTATTACCAAAATCAGTATGTGCAGCCCATCCCAATTTTCTTCTGGATGCAGGTTGCACATTCTGATGGTCCTAGAAAATAAGTTTGTTCTGAAGAAACTAAAATGAATGGATAAATGAAAAGAAGGCATCTTCATATTACTGATCATTTGTAAAGAGATTGTCTGGAGGATAGTGTTAGCAGTGTAAGCATTCAATTTGGAATACCTGGTTTCCATGGAACTGCAGACTCAACACTTTCCAGGGTTTTTGAGTCCTTGCAAGATAAATAAAATCAGCACTATGAAGTAGGCTGTTAAGCAAGACCTTTCATTGTGTGTGACATTGCAAATCCCACACCACTTTACGTAAACGTGCATTTCCCCTGTCACTGGACAAAGGCAATCCGTGCTAGGATTCACTCTGGAGATGTCTAGGCATCAGTAACAGTCTAAGAATATGATGCATAAGATGCTTTAGGGCTCTGCTGGAGAAAAGATGCTCTAGATATGTCACATGGATATCCAGAGATGAATTTAGATACATGACAGGAATGACCAGAGATATGTTTTGCTAAATGAAAACATATTAAAAACAGTATTTTCGCGCTTAAGCCAGTTGTTAACTGAGAAGCACCAAAGGTAGCAAATCCTGTCAAGAAGATATCTAAGCATCAGAAACCATTTTCTGTGAGAAATCTTGCATGTTTCTGTGGAACAGCTATTGCCACAAGCTCTTGAGTCTACAGAATTTGCTTGGTTACAGATTTCACCTGGATAGCATTTTTTGCATCAGATAGATGTGCCGCTGTCCTTCTCACCAGCTTTATGATTAACAACTCCAAGACCTTCTTCAGATCAAAGGGGTCTGGATAGGGCCAAAGAAGCTTAGATTCCATTCCCAGCTCCCATCACAAAGTTCTAATACCCTAGGCTACTGCATATTGATAAAGATCAAGTCTTCAGTGGCTGTGCTTTTCACACTGAAGATTAATAGCATCACCCAACTAAGGACATACCGTATATTGAAAGTAAGTAATTTTTAATGTGATTTTAGGTGAACGCCAAGAGTTCAGGATTTTCTGAGTGATTTGGAGGTGTTAAATATTTCTAGCGTTGGAAAACGCTAGCTCTGAGGTCAAGTAGGGAAGTATGGAGAAGTTAAGTTCTTAAATCTTTTAAAACTACTACCCAAACATCCATATTTCTGTTTTAGTCCACTTTTAATGAAAGCTTCTGTGAATATGCCATTTGTCTGAGTAAGAAAGGTTTGATGTGCCCAAATGTGATAAGCTTACAGCATGTGATTAAGTAAAATGTCATATGTTCCAGGACTGGAAACTTAACCGTGATTAAGGCCAATAAAGTTTGCTTTGGAAAGAGATGCATCAGTCATCCAAGATCATGTCGAATAAGAAATTTGGCATTTCAGACTGGAAAAATCATCCAAAACAGTGGGAATTTCACTAGAGCTTGTCTAGATGATACTACTATCAGACTGAGATAGTAACGAAAGTCATGAGGGAAGCCTTGCAGAATCAGATTTGCATTTTTCACAGTTCTGTGTGTACAGTCTTTAGGTAGACACAGTCTAATCATGAGCTTATGATGGTGACTAATCCCTTTGGAGCAGTTTAGGTTGTGTCTAGGCTTCGTTTTGCCTTGTTCATACTAAAATTTTAATCACAGGTTAAAACACAGCTCTTGCTGGCAAAATTAGCCCCAGGAATCTGACTTTACTTCTGTTGCCTTCTGCTCCTTGGGTTGACTTCTCATTCGCATCCTGCTCACAATCTTACAATTACTAATCAAAATCATGTTGTGAAGCTACTGTGGCTCACGTGCATGTTATGCTAGCCATATGTTATGTCATATAGTCAAACCAAGTGTCAAGAGTGTGAAATCTGAATTAGGTGGCAGTGCAGGTGATGGTAAGATTATAAAACGTAGCTCAGGGTTAGGAGATGAACAACAGCCATGTCTTTAGGATGGAGGAGGCATCATTACATATAGGTAGCTTGATGATGGGCTTTGAGTTGTTTGGAGTAAACTTACCACATCTTATCTTTCCCTCCTATACATATATCCTCGTTGCTGTTGTTTGATAACATATTTGCCATCTGCTAAAACAGGAACGAAAATGAACAGTTGATTATCTTCAGTTACTGCTGGTTTAGTTAGGTTAAAACAAACTTGGTAGCAGTCTTATCAGACTTATAATTGCTGTATTCTTCCTGCAAGGAAATAAATTAAGAAGATTCATATAGGAGGGAGAGGCAGGGCAATTGTGTACTGAGAAATAGACATCAGATTCCTTTGTTTGATGAGCAGTAATCGTGGATGACAGCACCTGGAACATTTGGCAATTCTGCGAGGCTGCCTAATTTCTTGTGATAGGCCTTCAAATAAAAAAAATCATCCCAAGAGGCTGAACAATAATAATGGTGAATGACTCCTTGTATTGGGTAGTGAATAGGCTTACATGTTCCTATACTGAGATACCATTGGAAATGAAAACACTAGAGCTGTCACAATTTTTAATAATTTCTATCTTAGAGACTTGACTGCTTTGGGGCACAAACACTGTAGAGAGAAGGTGTTAAGCAGTTTACTGTCAGTTCTTGAAATAAACTATCATTTAAGTACTGCCTTTCTATGAAGATTATTATCTCCTTTGTTCTGAGAATGTGAGAAATCATAAAATATTAGACTACTCTTTCTTACGTTAAATATTAGTTATGGACTAAATTGTTCTTGCAAGTAGTTTTACAGTCTTCTGCTGAAGCAAAACACTGCCAAGTATTAAACATGGCATTTACTATTAATAAATACCACAGCATGTTACAGATGCCATACAAAAACTGAATAAACCTTCTTGTGGTTTTATACTGCTTGTTGAACTTTTTCAGCTTCAGCTTAGGCGAATGGAGAATCAGCTTTATAAAATTGTTTTCCTTAAGCAGTGGCTTTTTTTGTTCTTTTCCATCAAATCATATAATCATATGGTTTCCCCCTCAGTGACATTAGGCACAATACTGTGATGTTTGGCTCCTGCAGTGAAGACAAATCTCAAACAGTAGAATAAAGTTAAGATCTACAATTACATGGATAGGTGGTGAAGCTTTTAATCCAGTGAGTTAGGGCGTACATTGTATATGTCTATGTTTGTAAGTACATTATTTTCAGTTGCTATGAGATGACTGATTGCAAATTGTGCTCTCAAATGTATATGTATGTGCAGGTGCAAAATTCAGTTTCTTAAAAACTGCTAAAGCACGCAGAAAGAAAAAGAAAATGTGAGAATTATGAATTCCAGCAGCAAGAATTAAGTCTTATCGTTACTTATTTCAGTTGCTGGACTTATTCTTCTGTGAGAAGAATAAGTGAAATTTAGGAGAAATACCAAATTGCATGTTCTTTTCCTAGTACCAGCAGAAAAAACAAATTGTACTTTGCAGAGAGTAATGATGCATTAGGAAATGGCTGCTAAAGGAAGAATGGGCATTGAGCAGTGTGTAGAAGAAACAGTCATATGTTCATTCCATGCCACATGCTTTTTGTTCATGTGAAAGGGAAAGGCAGGGTTGATTTCTGTTTGTATTAACTCACATCAGCAAGTTGACACTGTTGGTTGCTGGGATGCGTGCAAAATAGCTGATTAATTACATGGTGCTAACTGCTCAGTAGGCTTCTCTGCAGTAGAACTAAGGCTAATTAAGATTATGTCAGGATGAAATGAGATGGGGTTACATACAGAAAGCTATTAAGAATTTGGGTAGCACTTGTCAGGAAAGTCACCTTTTGCATCTCATGCTGAGGATTGTATTTCATCAGAAACCTCAGGTTTATTTCCAGTCTACAGGTCTGTTTTTTCCTCTTGCTTTATTTTACTGTAAATCAGGTGTTATTCCACTAGAGTCAGTGAACCGGAGTAACACTAGTATGAATGTGTAGAGAGGTAAGCTTGTGGTTTTCATAGTCACCTTAATGTTGTATGATAGTGTGAAGTACTTCTCATTTATTTATAAAAGTGGTATGGTAGATTGTAATAAAAAGCTTTTGTTTATTTAAATTTCCATAATGTTTCTTAAATAACATTTCAGTTTATTTTTGACTGAGAAACAACTGTTTTGTACAGATTGTTCGCTTTCCATCTGTCAGTACAACACAGGCGTTTTGTCCTAAGTTACTTTGGTTTGTCATACCTACTTGTGCACCAAGACATTGATTTCTGTCATGCAGATCATTTAAACAAAATCACACCAAGTGATTTCTGTGATGTGCATCAAGTTTTCTTCCTCTTCCTTCAGATCGTAGGAGTCATCATAGGACAGGGAAGGGACTTTCTTTGGTAATGCCTACCAAGACAAAGGGAGGTCAGTCTAGACAGAGATACAGATAGATCGGGGTCTTTATGGCATTGTAACCAAATACCTCTCTCAATCTGAAATTCTTCTGTCATATTGTTCTGATTTAGTCTGTCAGTAGGTATCTAGCAAAACCTAAAATGAAGAAGAAAACAAAAGCTTTGGTAAATAGGGTTAATGTGGGCTATTTATTTTTTTTTTTGAATTGGTTAATACTGGCTAGATGAAGGCTGAGGCACGGAAGTGTTCATCTAAGCCCTAGTTATGTGGCTAAGAAGAGTTGAAAATACCTGCTTTAAAAGCAATTACATCTTTAATCCTTACTGCCACAGAAACACAAAACTTTGACCTGAGCATAACGGATGCATAAGAATGCAGAAGGCCTGAAAATACAGCTTCAGAAAATATGACCTGTCCTATTCCTCTTAAATACAAAACCTTGTGGTTTCCTGTTGAATAAAGAAATGCCAGGTAAAGAGCCAGGAAAAAAAAAAAAAAAAAAAAGAGGTACAACTGTAGGCTTCTTGATGATTATGCATAAGGCATCGAATTGCCTTAAATAGGGTTCAGTACAAGGCAATGAGGTCTGATTCACTGCTTCTGCTG